CTTGATTATTATGGTCGTACTGCGGGGGTGATTTGGTGGGCGCTGCCGCGACTGATGATATGGGAAGGACAACGTTCCTAGTAAGGTAGATAGGGAAAAATGTACATGGACTAATTGTATGGGCCTGTTTGAGTGACTTGATTCGTTTAATTTTTCTATTCTATATGTTCGTAACTAATTTTTTTTCTCAGAGGGTTTAACTTCTGAACAGATGACGGTGTTGCGTAGTAAGTGCAGAGTCGACCTACGTGACGCCATTTTTTTAAGTTTTAGAGCTTCCTGATCATGTTTGGAAATCATTTTGAGGGGTAAATTGTTGGTGGAGGGAGGATACATATTTTAATGTTTTTGGCTTTAACAGATTTATGCAGTTCTAAGCCCGTTAATTGTACCCACCTATTACGAGTGGACATATTTCACTCATCGATTTGTTGGCTGTCGTGATTCATTTTCCTTTGTTATACATGTTCGTACCAAACTTTTTCCTAAGAGAAGCTAGCTTGTGCTGAATATGAATTGATGACAGCGTTGAGCAGGAAGTGCAAGGACTTGTGACCATTTTTTTTTAAAGAAAGTAACGGAAAATCCAAAAGACGCTTTCGAGTAGAATCAATATGGACCCGGGAAAACGGCACTCATTTTTCTAAAAACCATTGGAGGAACATTCAAGTATTACTTAAGCACTAATGGGGGGCAAGGGGGTCATCGATTTGATTATTTTTGATAACATGGGGGATGGGGAGGTCCTAATGGTGATTACGTTAGCAATATTTTTTTTTGCTTTTTCGGACTTCCCAAAAAATCTAGTCGATTTTGGTTTGAACGCATATGGCAACCGTACTTGTATATGCTCCAAAGCAAATAATATTTTCAGGGACTCCCCAAATATGGTTATGCTTACTCACTTAAAACCTCAGCAATAAATGCTCCTTGTATAAATGCGTATAACTGAGTAGAGCTCAGAATGGTTCCTCTTAGTCGGGAACTGTCTCATTTGGATGAGTGTAACGTTTCAATTAACTAACATTTAGAAAGATCTAATTTCCGCAAATGTTTTACGAGAGGCAATTGATGGTTGTCATATATATTTGTGTGACTTTCCAGACATTAAATAGTATCCAGAAAATGTGCGTGAAAGCCAATACTTGCTTCTAAATGTTAACCTAAATATTTGAGGATGGGTTAACAGAAGATTATTATAATTACGTTAACTGAAAAAGTAAACAATTGGGCAATTAACTTGAATCGCATCTGAATAAGTCTTGAAAAATTGCTATCTATCCCTCAGGATTCTGTTTGTAAACACATGTTCTGCACAAATCAAATTGTGTCAGAGTTTAGTTATTTCTAAAATCGTTTATCTATATTTTACCCTTGTCTTATGTCTAGTACCGCAAAACAATTGCAGATAATGCAGAGTACCTGTGTGCGGTTTATCGAAAAGCTAAGAAACTTTGATCACGTAACACATTTATATTGCAATCTCGTATGACTAAGTGTTCAAAACCTTTTCAAAAATTCCATTCCAAGCTTTACTCACAGGACCGAACTGACATCAGTACCTCAGTTGTAAGCTTGTTTCAAGGGCGTCTGTACTTAATCTGCAGATTCCCTACCGTTACGCCTTAATCATGCTAATACATCGCAGAACACTCTTCAGAAGATCTTTTACTTACAATGCAGTTATACTCGTATCATACCTCAACTTAGGCCAGGATCTTAAGACTATCTAGTTTATCCAGAGAGAATTACAGAAATACCGCTGGCTTAATGAGTAGTTTCGTTTTCATATTTTGTATTTTTGATCAGCTATTTTTTCGGTTCATTATGACCTATTGTTATCTTTTTTTCATTTCATAAGTGAATAGGCATTACTTTGTATTATACTGTATTGTAACAAGCCTTCTATTGCCACATTTTTTTAATTATATGATTCGTTCTTTTTTAAGTTAGAATAGCAGGTGCTAAATCTCGCCCCACGTAGTGTACCATGTGTTTTTGTCCTTAAAGGCTATCATTATTAATAATTGTAAAAATCCTGCTTACGTAATACTTGAACGGCTCCTGGCGAATAACGACCGTCTATTCTTATCTTTTAGCGTACTGGAAATTCAATGATAATAATTTATAGTGGAAATAACTTCAGAGGTTAAGAGGCAATCCCACCCGTCAGTCCCACAAAGCATTCCCAACAAGAGAACCACGTCCTTTACCCTAGACAGCCCTTTAGGCACAGGTAGAGACAATCAAACACATCCCTGATTCCCTATTAGCCCTTGTTGGTAATGAGTCGTCTTCTGGCATGCGTTCTTTCATGTCTAAGGTTAAATCCGTCATTATATCTTGGCTGAGGGCAAAAGGCAAAAAGGAAAGGGCGAAGGGCTGAGATCTCTTCGTACACGCTTTCCGACAATAGACGTCAAGAGGCGTAGGGCCTGCATGGGAACAGGGGGATCAGGACAAGGAAGCAGCGAGGGAATTCGCAATTTCATATTTTTCCTTGCTTGAATTATAACAGGGGAGTGTATGGTAGAGGTGGGATTTTTTATGATAGGGTGGATTAGGATTTTAGTTACGAAGAAGTTGTCATTCAAACAAACGGCATGGTATTTTTACGGCCATATTTAAATTCAGTGTTTCAAAACTACCATTGGGTATTCACTTGTAGCAACATTAGACCAGAAGGCACAATAAACCCTAGATGCAGTGTCATCGGGGTCTTTGGTCGGACTGCTCTCGGAAAGGGAAAATAAAACATTATACCAAAATGAATATGTTGCATTGATATATCCGCATTTCCTTCCACTTCCCACAATTTGGACGTTATGTGAAATGTTGGTCTGCCCGCTAATCTCATAACCGCCTATAACTTGAGAAGTACCGCTCGAATTTCGATGGAATTTACACAATGTTAGGTACTACTATGCAAAGGCTTTGTAGTCCAAAATCCGTCCAGTGGCGGTGGTTAGAAAGGCCAAAAACAAAAAAAGTAAAATCGTTCTAACTTCGTTTTTTGACGTTTAAGATGATCCTGATCATTTTCGGATGTATTTTAGAGATTAAAAAATGGGGGTTATGAGTTGCAGGGGATGGGGGGGTATATGTCAATTTTTTAACGTCAAGATATATACTCTTCCAACCACAGTAATTCTACGCACGTATTAGGCATATTTCTCTCATCGTAGATGTCCCCGTACATTTACCCTTAAAACTTTGACGTCATCCTCCGATGAACATGCATCTCGTCGGTGGTCGTACGTCACAGTCGGCAATCGCTTCCGCACTGCTGTGGCCTGCGTGTACCGTGCATGGTGAAGGACAATCTCGTCATTCATGCATGATTGGTCATCGTTACGATCATGTGCGCCTGTAGCAGTTCCTCTCAAGGGGGAGGAGGACGGTCACTAACTTTATTTTATACATGTTTGTAGCCAGCCTTTTTCTACGAAGGGGTAACTTGTGCCAAACAGTATCCATTACGAACTAATGGCAGCGTAGCGTGGGAAGTACAGAGTCAACTTGCTTGACGCAATTTTTCATTCAATAGCCTGTCTGGAGGAGTACTGTTAAAACTTTTCATCTGACTGTTCTACTTCATATCCTTTTTATCAAAAATGCACCTTTGTGCATTACTAAGTTAACAAAATATGCATTTTTTCCCAAAAAAAGTTATAAAACCGGTTTAGTCATAACTATACACACCATGAAATAATCAAGTGAAAAGGATTTAGAGTACCGCTTCAAATGCACAGTTTAAAACAGGGACATGCGGCCTTGAAGGGATACATACTACCGAACCAATTTCTCATATATTCTTGCGAATCTGCAATCTTGATTGAAACCATTGCCATGGGTGAATTGGGTACGTAGATTCCGAATCTGGTATCAATGTTTCGCTAACCCAAGTCCCCCATAGAAGTTTTTGACAGCGTCAATCAATGATACAATAACAAAGATCCCTTTCTCATGAAAATTAGGATGAAGAGTAGAACTCGGCCGAGTGAATTTAGGAGACCCAGATCTCAGATATTGAAAGCACGACATGTCATCTATGCATAATTATCCTGGACTATAAGAAAAACAACTATGACAACCACTTTAGGGACATGAGACGACGGACGCCTTGCGTTGGATGCGAAGTGAAGCCCTTTCGCCCTTTTTTCTGTACGCGACGGATGCCGTTCATTATGCGCTCACTGAATTCTTTGTACTTACACCCTTTTTTTCAGGGACAAGTACAGACTTCAAACGGTTCCGCATAAAGATGCCTTCTCATTGGTCCGTTATTATGATCGGGCCTAAAAATCGCCATCAGTTTATTAGCAATCGCTGCAACTCACTCTTGTGAGTTCTACTTTTGTGAAGTGTACTATTCGTCATTTGTTTGTTTGGGCGGTTCGTCGAACCATTTGTCACTGTCTAATGTACGTTATTCGAATCTGTCAGTCCTGGTTGTCCAGAAACCAGACAATTTCAAGGAAAAAGAAAAGGGAAAGAGAAGTAAAAGAGAGCAAAGAAAAACAGATCTGCAGCAGAGGAAACACCGAGGCTTTTAGACTTGGTACACTGATTAGTTTTGAGGTAAACTTAAACAAATCTTAATTCAGGTTTTGTTGAAGTGTAATTGTGGGTTTACTAAAAGAACCTTAATTTTTTGTCATAGTGCGAGCCAAGGCCTTGAATGTTTACGAACTTGCTCCACTGCGAAGTCTACTGAGTTACGTATCAGAGGGTTGCTGTGCGATTCTATACAATAGTAGTACCATTTCTATATAGAAGTAACCATAGTGACAATGCTCGTCTCCGTTGTTTGGTTATTAACGATATCCTTGACATTAGTCGCATTTTCAACCAGCAGTCAATGTCAATTACGCTGCCTAACGATTCCATAATCTGCTTATGATCAAAAAGAAAAACCGATTTGAAGATGTATGCACGTTCTCAATTTGTGATCCCAGACAGACAGAAGACACAGGCAAGCCTATACTTCAATAAAACAAATGCTTGAACTGGTGTCACTTCCCCATTGGTCAGGTACCCTTTTATTCATAACTTACATCACCAAAGCCTCCAAATTTATTTAAGATATGTTTTACTTCTTACATACTATCAGCCATTATCACAAAGTTGTCAGTGAGCGCTATTAAATCACACATTGCATTGATACTCTATATAAATTACGCGCAAAAGCTGTTCCTAAACCTCATTAGATCATAATGGAGCGTTCTTTTCTCTATTTGGCCTAAAAATTATACGAACACGTACCCAAAGACTGAAAACAATTTCGAGAAACACATGTAATTTTAAATACAAAAATTTGTATCACTAATGGTTACGCTCAACAGGAAGACTACATATTTATTAAATCTTAAGACTTCTACATATATACCTCCTTGATGTACATTTTTCTTTGTTTCTTTTAACTTCTTTGTTTTGTTTTTGGATTGTCACACATTTGAGCATACAACTGATTCATGCACAGGCATTGTCCTGTAGATTACAACATTTATTCACTCATCCTACCTGTTATATCATGTAGTAAATAAATATCTACTACTATCTACTACTATTCATTGCAGGAAAAACGTAGCTCGCTGCTTATCAGTGAAAATACAGAGCCGAATTAATGTCAATGATACGAAAATGCAATTGGTCAGTCAGTTATTAGAATCCGATATGGAAGTGTAGAGATCTTCAAAGTATTGATTTGTTTTGATGTGCTATTTATAGAACTAAAGAAACCATTAATGAAATGGACGAGAATAAAGCGTGCTCAACTAGATACAATATTTATCATTTCCCCATCATTTTGAAGTATTCGCATCTCTAGAAGGTATTTGAACTATTTGAAGAAATTCAGCCCGTTTCATGACTAAAGTTGTTTGTTGTTTTTGCTGAATATATCTAAAGTGCTGTCGTCACGTGAGCTGTATAGACCTAAACGAATAACTTGGACGACTTTCCATATTCATGGTTCATAAGTTACCGAGGACTTGACAGATTGGTCAGTAAAATAAAAATGTCAAACCAGCAGACCTGTTAGTGAGGATAGTAGACGGATCGTTACTTGTTAGAGATGTGATTTATGGGACTAGACACAGAAAACATTGGGCGATAGTATATCTGAAGTACTTAAGTAAAAATATTATGCCGCGTTTAAAATGAACGCCATCGAATAAACATTCTTCAACCGTTATCTACTAAAAATAAAGTCCTTTACGAGAGGCCTGGCATCGTTTTTCATCCACCTTTATTTACCGAAAAGATTATATTCATAAGGCGGCCTTCCTCTAAATGTTAATTTATTCAAAAATAAATTATTTCAGCATTACAACCACTTAATTTGTTGGCTTTGTTATAGAAGCAGCGCTCTTCTGTCTCCAACCGTCTATCCATGGGCGTAGCCCACGTCCCTCTATTTAAAAATCGAAAAAATATTTTGTTATACATATTGTCCTTGATAAATAACTTCTACACATTTCAATTTTCCGTCTGTGGTACGGTATCTTTTCCTAGGACGATAAACTGAAATCTCGAAAATGGGACTTTGCTGCACTGAAAAGGCTCGGGGTTCGGTTTCAGCGACTGAAAAAACGTATTACAAGCATGGATTGGCTTATTACTGATAAAACTAGTGCAGTTTCCGAATTTGAAACATTATGCCTGGGTGCAAAACTTGTTCAAAATACGGACCACACACATGTAGATACCAGTGCAAAAGTAACTACAAAATATAATGCTGCAACATTTCTGACTGACCCATTTTTGATTTATTCTTGGTCATCACAAACTAAAATACTTTAAATGACTCCTGCTGCACATATTTTGGATCGCTGAATTCGAATTCGAAGAGTGTTTCTTTCTATTACTCAGTGAAAATTGCAAAATATGATCGTGAAGGGATCTTCAAGTGTCGTCATCAGAGATATGTGAGGATTTTTGACGGGTTTCTGTCCGTTTTTTTAATAATTAAAATATTTGCAGATATCTCAAAAATGGAACATTGCCGGTCTAGAAGGGTCCCGGATTCTATTTGAGCGACTCTTACCAATTCTTACTTGGATTATCGCATCCCTGAAAGGTATTCCACTAAAGTTACGGAGAGAATTGCGCAAAGTTAAATTGTTTTGTAAGCTATTGACGGTTATTGAATATAAATAAAACAAGGAACTAAGTTTTAAAGATAAAACTTGGTTTCAGCTAGTAGGTTTTTAGATTAATTCATGATTATTTCTTTTTTAAATCCAATTTCTTCACAACTCTCTTCAATCATATTGTAAGATAAGGCGATCTGATTGACTGAGACAGGTTAACCATCGCAACGAAGAAAAAACTGTGATCATCATCATCAAAATGCTGCGGGATGATCAGATTAGATCTGGTATTCGGTTATTGCCATAGTAAGTCTGCTTACTTCGAGCCTGCTTGGAAGACGGTAAATGAGTAAATGAGTTTTTTGGATCGGTAACTTCACTTTTAATGTCTAAACATGCTGCACGGTCACATGTTTCAGGTGGACAAGAGCACAACAACTATTCTCTATCCGAACTATGGGATCTATCTAAGGCTGAAAACATAGTGGAGCGGCGAGATGAGCGACGAGGAGAGCAGAGAGCAGAGCGGCGATTGAGTGTCGCGGTGATAAAAGAGATGCCTGCACATAGTAGCGCGATCAAAACAGAGAGATGGATCTGTTGTTAGCAGAAAATTCTTCTCTGAAAATTTGGTATTTTCTGAAAAATAGGAAGAGAAGTTGTAGTGTTCATGAAATAAATAAAAGTAGGCATGTACATGGTGAATTTCATCACCTGTATGAAGAACTAAGGCAGCATCCCGAGAAGTTTAAGTCTTATTTCCGAATGAGTATTGTAACCTTTGATTATATTGTGAAGAAAATTCAGCATAAGTTAGTAAAAAGTTGGACCAACTTTAATTGTAACCCTATTAGCCCAACAGAACGAGTTGCACTGACCTTAAGGTAAGTAAACGTGCACACTTTCAATTTTATATTTTATTCAGAACGAAAACCCAAACTAAAATGAAAGCACAAACATTACTCATATAGCTGTACCTATGTGAAAATATTAAAAATCATTAAGAGATTCTTCGGAAAAACTGGTCAAATAAGATCCAACTGATGCAGGATTCGAGGAGACCCTTAGAGGCTGCAAATCAATTATTTGGGATGAATTTACTTCATATACATCATGCATATTTTGAGCTTGATGATTACTTTGCCTTTGAGTAGCTTGACTAGGCGGCTGATCATTGTAAATAAAGTTATAAACAAGTTCCTGAATTCTCATTCTTAATAACATTTTTCTTTGTGGGGTGAGCGGGCGAATGTGTGGTAGAAGGCTGTCAAAAAAGCAATCGTCTTCATCAAGGGTTTTTTCTCTTTTTCTAGAATCCTGAGTTTTTGTTCTTCTAATCTTATAAGTGCAGCACCAACATTTGTGTCATTTTGGTTCTTTCGTTTTAATTTGTTAACAGTAGGTGTGATAGTTAAACTGCTTTTGTTTTGAGACGAATCGTTCGTCAGTGGTAATTTATTGGCATAAGTAGAATCATCCAAGTTTGGCTTATTTGGTTCTGATCGGTGTTCTGATAACTGGGTGTTTGTTTCTTCATCCAGAATATTGATGTTTTGCTCAGTTTCGGGCAAATTTCCGGTGCTTACTCGGGCAGTAAATTGGTCTTTTAAAAAATAAAGACTATCAAAATATTGCCAAGATGATGTCCAAGAGGATGCCTCATCCCCCGATCGTTGTACTGGCTTTTTTTTAAGTTCTTTGCGAAATGTGTCTCGCAAGTTTTTCCATTTTGTCCTCACGATACTCCCTGAAATGAGAAAATATTTTTACCAGAATTTAAGCTTGAAGAAGTTTTTTTTTCAGGTTTTTGGCAACGGGATCATCTTTTAAAACTCTTAGTTTTACTTTTCGAATGGGTGCTACGACCGTGTCATCAATTGTGCGAGAAACAGTAAAAGCTATGTGGGACATATTACAACCTCTGCATATGAAACTTCCTACCGAAAATGACTTCAAGAACACTGCAAAAGAATTCTACGAAAAATGGAATTTTCCCAATTGTCTGGGGGCAATTGACGGAAAACATATTCGTGTGAAATGTCCTCCTCACTCTGGAACTATGTACTATAATTACAAAAACTTTTCTATTGTTCTCCAAGCTGTTACTGATGCAAATTATAGATTTATAACGATTGATGTTGGAGGGTATGGCAAGCAGAGTGACGGGGGTACATTCCGATCCTCATCTCTATTTCATCTGATTGAGAGTAAACGTCTAAATATTCCTGAAGATGGTACATTACCGCTCACTATGATCACTGTACCCTATGTTTTTATCGGAGATGAAGCCTATCCTTTATTAAATAATCTAATGAAACCTTTTAATAGAAGAAATTTAGATGCAGAAAAAGAATATTACAATATGCGCCTTTCACGTGCAAGACGTGTAGTAGAGTGTGCTTTTGGAATCATCAGTGCCAAGTTTCGTATTCTTTTCAAGCCCATAGAAGCCTCTCCAGACTTAGCAGATGATATTATTAAGTGTATCTGTATTCTACACAATACAATAATTGATATAGAGGGCATTCCAATTCAAGATGAACAATTTTTGTCCCAATCCGAGTCTCAATGTAATAACTCGGACGTTGTGCGAGCAAATAATAGGCCAACAGCATCTGCCACTTTTATTAGAGAGACGTATAAAAATTACGTATGTAGAAATAAAATTTAAAAATATATACTCACTTGTTGTTTTCATTTCTTCGGCCACAGCATCCCACAGTTTATCCAAAACAAAGCGGTTATGGTGCTGAGAGTCTTTCTGATCCCATAGGGGATTTTTAACAAAAACACTAGTAATAAATGCATCAACATCCATTTTTAATACACAGTATTTCCGCAGCGAGGAGAGCAGAGAAAACAAATCTGCTTGGTCTCGCCGCTATCCTCTCTTATAGCAACGCAGTTACCTCGCTTGAGCTCGCCTCACTATGTTATACTCGATTGGAACTATTGCTTTTGTTTTCGCCGCTCTCCTCTCTGCTCTGCTCGTCGCTCTTCTCACCGCTCCACTATGTGTTCAGCCTAAATAAGACAGCACAAAGCGCCATGTATTACCAGAATTGATCACTGCGAGAGTGTATAGCACCTATAGGTTGGAACTGTAAAGATATCAGTTCGTATTTGATAGCCACTGTGACTGCGGATGGCGGATAGCCTAGCAACCTTTCGTTCATTGTCCACCTGAAACCAATCCTAGACAATGATGGTGAGTTGCCAGAAAGCCCGAAACCACTGTCCATGGTGTCTGTGGTCTAATGGATGGAATTAGCATGTTCCGTTTCTACTATATCGCCAGAGTCGTGAGCCTCTGGCGGTCATGGTGGTGATAATTGTTATATAGTGTCTGGTGATAGGGGGTGCTTAATACTATTTTATTTTAATATAAATAAGTCTTCAGAAAATATTCAAAACGACGAATAAAATCATGCATCATTCGTGGACAATTTATTTACTATTAGTAGTAGTTTCTGACTACGGCAATGCGGAGAACATTTAAAATTCTAAAGACCCATTTTCAACAGCAGCGGCAAGTTATGAAGTGCATTCCGTATTCAGAAAGTGTTTATTTTGAAAGTTCGCGCAGCAAACGAAATGCGATTATATAAAAATAAAAATAGGAAGAGATAAGAGGAAGGAGATGAGAGAACCTCGCTGTTGGCAGCAGCAACGCTTCTCTGGTGGTCGGCCCAGGATGTTTTATTTTAATAATTCGAGAGCGAGTTGGATTACCGAGGTAGACGGTGATGGGCTAGGTAGTGGTCTACCTCTAGCATGGCGAAATACATTTCAATTTGAAACCTTTATTTTATATAGATTGTTATATAATTATGACGCCTTTGGCTTCTACAGGATGTCCCAGAAATAACACGCCAGAGTTACACGGGAAGTAGGTTGGCTGCAAATTCATCGAATGAAATCAACATGACGTTAATACAAATTTTTATAGTTTTCGAGGTACTGTCACTTTACTCAAAAAATCACTACTTTTTTTGCCTGTTATGGCGATGAAGAACTTCTAACCTATGTTTTTTTTACTGGGCAACCATTAATAGTTGGTATGATAAAAAAATAAATTATTACATTTTGTTTCGATGTGAAAACCTTAACGAAAGTATCACTAATTACTGTGAAAAAAATTGTACCAGGCAAATGATCTTGAAATCTTAAATTTACTTAGATTTTTGGAAGCATCATCTACCCATTCTTTTGTAAGGTGTGCTTCTTGGGGCAAGAAGAAGGATGTGGTCACTTAATAATAATGGGTGCCTTGTGCACTATGCGAGCACAATAAGGAGGTGTCTTGATGAAGCATCCCCCAGAAGATGGATTGGCTGGCTAGGGCCAATTTTGTGGACCCACGCTCCTCAGACCTGAACCCTCTGGATTCGCTTACTGGGAATGTTTAAAAGATAAGGCCTATGGAACACCAGTTCAATCAGCCGATGAACTGCGTCATCGAATCAGTCAAGCAGCACTAGTAATATCCGATTTAAGTTTGAAACATTTAAAAGGACAAAGATGATGCAGGTTGTGTATGACAGTTGGTGGTAGACATTTTGAAAATCTGTTGAATAATAATAATAATGAGAGTAATAATCATTTATTTCAGGCAATATTTACATTACAATATATTAATTGAATTTTCATTTAGTTAATTGAGATGTTGATAATGATTTATAATTCTTGACTTGAATGTTGTAAAAATCAATAAAAATAAAAAAATACAAACTACTATTTTGATGCCTTCATACAACAATGAATAAAAAAGAATGATGGATAGCTGTTTTAGACATTTGGTAAAATAAAAAGCTATTACACCAACTACAAAGTTGTAATTTAGACACAAAAGACAGCTGCACTTATTATTTTTTATTTACGCAAGTATTATGGCTTCAGTGCAAAAGTTAGAAGTATTCAGTTTTTATTAAAAAGAACCTACAAATGTTATACTATTTTTGAAAGAGCATTGAATAGCCAGTTCAGTTTTTAAGGTCATTCGCTGATTCAATCTGGTACATTTTTTTTCACAGTAATTAGTCAGACCTTAGGAAAGGTTTTCGCATTGAAACTAAATGTAATAATTTAGTTTTTTTTAGCATACTGTGTTAATACCCAAAAATTATATACAATATATATATATATATATATATATATATATATATATATATATATATATATATATATGTGTGTCCTCCACGATGGTGCGGCGTCACGCAACGCCGATATATATAAACATAAACATATATTATAACAAACATATAAACATTCTCCTGTAGCGGTGTGTCAGTGACGACACCACCGCAGATTCATCAGAGTTTGTTATTCATCGACAGTGGCTTCCACGACGATGCAACGTCGCGCCGCACAGGCAACGCCAGGAGCTTCTTAATGATAGAAAGTCCTTGTCTCACACTATAGACGTAACACTTACTGCCTATTATCCCCAACAAGCCCCAATCCCCAATTTTCCACCCTTACAAATTTTTTTTCGAAAACGACCGGGAACCTCTGAAACGTCAAAAAAAGTGTTAGTGATTTTTATTTTTTTCGTTTTTGGTGTTTTTCTC